CCCGGATGACTAGTCCCACATGAAGCGCCGCTACCTGCTGACTGAATATAGACCGAATAACGGGACGAAACCAACGGGGATGCAGCAGACAAGATTACCACAAGAAAACAAAAACCCCGTTTTTTTATGGAAATTTACATGAAAAACGGGATGTGTCATTTACTTTGGTTATGGGATGTGTCATTTATCTACCATATGCATAGTCAAAAAAAGGGAACCATACAGTAGGCCCGCGAAACGGAATACCCCAGCATATATATGTCTGACGTGGCTCAAGCATAGTCGACTGGTTGACACGTGTGCAACTTGACGGTCTGATCGAGATCGGGACTTGAGTAACGACATGACGCGTGTCAAGAAATCGAGGTTGAAAACTGACGAGGTAGAGAGACAGAGAGAGAGAGAGAGAGGGGGGGGGGGGAGAGAGAGAGAGGAGGCGGGGGGGAGAGGAGAGAGGGGATAAGAAATATAAACTAGCTTACTAAAGTCATTGCTCTAGTCTATAAGCTGTACCTCTCTAGTCTATAGCCTAGTATAGACTTTCTTAAAGACTATACTCTGTGTAGTCTATAATCCTATATAGCTTATAACCTATTGACTATGGTCTACAGCCTATGGATTATGGTCTATTGCCTATAGACTATGGTGGGTGATGGATTATGGTCTATTGCCTATAGACTATGGTGGGCGATAGACTACGTTGATGATATCTTTGCTTGGTTGTGGTCGTGCCCGTCTTCATCAGGACGTATCTGACTCGCTTCACAACTTCTACGGATGTATCTGATGACCGCAATTGTGACCAGATTCAGTCCAACAGCTCCCCGTTGGAGTATTTCTTGCTAAGCGTGGTCCACAGGCAAAGGCGATAAGCTGTATTTGACGACGATAAGCAAAACGACGACATCGTCGAAGGACGTGGCAAGGGACGAGGATTGGCATTGCAAGGGGAACGTAGTTGAGTCAGGAGGCGCAACAGAGCAGGAAGAAGAAGAGGAAGAGGAAGAAGAAGAAGAGGAGGAGAAGGAGGAGGAGGAGAAGGAGGAGGAAGAGAAGAGTGTGGAGTTGAAGAAAGAGAAGAAAGAGAAGAACAAGAAGAAGAAGAAGAAGAGTGAAAACAGTCGGTGGCCATAGACTGCTGCTTCTCGTACAAGCATCGACAGACTTGCATTATTTCTCCGCATGTACTGTTCTCAGCGTGAAGAAGAAGAAGGGGAAGGAGAAGAAGGAGAAGGAGAGCAAGAAGAAAAAGAAGCAGAAGCAGCAGAACAGAGGAAAGAGGATATTATGTGGGAGGAGGAGAAGGAGATGGAGTTGCTGTATTTGATCTCCTTCTTCTTTTTCAGACCCTTCTCCTTCCCGCTCGTCCTTTTCTTGCCACTCTTCCTCCTCGTTTCGCTGCTCTTCTCCTTCCGCTTTTAGCACAGTCTGTGAAGAGGCGAAGGATTGGAAGGGGATGAGGTCGGGAAAGGAGAGGAAGGAGAAGAAGGGGAGGAAATTGCGTGGAGGAGGAGGAGAGTATGCACTGGGCGGAAGAGTAGAGTCTCAAGAAGAAGAAGAAGAAGAAGAAGAAGAAGAAGAAGAGGAAGGAGGAGGAGAGGAAAGAGGATATTATGTGGGAGGAGGAGAAGGAGGTGTTGGTGAAGGAGAAGAGGGTGGAGGAGAGGAGATAGGAGTGGTCGAAGAAGCAGGAGGAGGAGTTGGGCAAAAATCTTCTCCTTCGTCGGCCTCTCCTTCTTCTTCTCCCTCTTGCTCCTCTTCCTCCTCTTTCTCCTATTCTTCCTCTTCGTTTCGTTGTTCTTCCTCTTCCTCTTCTTCTTCTTCTTCTTCCTCTGCTTCTTGGATGCCGGCCAGGACGCAGAGGATGGAGAGGAAGCCGAGGATGCAGAGGAAGGAGAGTACAGAGAGAAAGGAGAGTAAAGAGAGGAAGGAGAGTAAAGAGAGAGGAAGTTGTGCAACCGACGGCCAAACGACGACGAGACGAAGGAAGAGCAACTGTCTGTCGTCTGGTGGAACTATGATCTCCTCCGCCCAAAAGCGTTACTACACGTGTGGCATGTGTGGTGCTTCTTTTCGAAAGCCGGCGTATTTGCTTAACCATCAACGGAAGCACACTGGAGAGAAACCATTCCTCTGTCCAATTGAAGGATGTGACCGAAGCTACAAGAGGTCTGATCACCTTAACCGCCATCTACGATCCTGTCACGAGTACGGAGAGTCCTCATTCTCATGTCCGTATCCCGACTGCAAAGTGACCTGTGCTTACCGCTCCAACCTCATACGGCATATCAAGAACCAGCATCCTTCTTCAAAGGGATCACCCATGGAGGGAGGAGGAGGAGGAGGAGGAGGAGGAGGAGGAGGAGGAGGAGGAGGAGAGGAGGGGAATGGAGAATCAAACAAGCAGAAGAGGAGGAGGAAGGAAGATGAAGAAGTATGCAACAAGCGGCGGGGCATGTCCTCCTCACAGCGAGCTCAGGAGGAGGAGGAGGAGGAGGAGGAGGAGGAGGAGGAGGAGGTGGGAAGACAGGGAGGAGGAGCAGAGGGAATGGGAGAAGAGAACATGCTGAAGAGGAGGAGAAAAGCGGAGGAAACAGGGATGAAGAGGAAACGCCGCCGCAAAGACTCTATATCAACTGAGAACAAGCAGGAGCTGAAAGAAGAAGAAGAAGAAGAAGAAGAAGAAGAAGAAGAAGAAGAAGAAGAAGAAGATGATGATGATGAAGTGCGCAGGCGCGTAAAAGACTATATCATGGATCGCACCGGCATTGTGGGTGGGTGCTTAGTGTTGTTCCCTAATCCTAGCCGTCGAAGATTACATCAACTTGACACGCTTGCTGCCACGTATGCATCTTGTATCTGTGCTGCAGAGGGCTGTGGCATGAAGTTTCCCGATCCGCGAACACTCAGTGAACATTGTCGGAACACTCATCGACATGTCAAATGTTCTGTTTGCTCAATTCAGATAACCAGAGCGAAGTACAAGGCCCATTTGAGAACCCATAACCTCGACAGACCCAGACATGCATGCACATATGAAGATTGCAAACGTTCTTTCTCCAATGGCAGCAATCTTGCCACTCACATCCGCAGCTACCATCTTCGGACCTACGAGGTCGTCTGTCCCCTTTGCTCAAAAACTCTGAGAGATCGCCGAACTCTCGAGCGACATCTGGGCGCTGTCCACTCTTCTCCGCGCGATGCTGAGAAGAAAGAAGGAAGGGAGCGGACGCGCAAAGAGGTTCCTTTCGACTTCATAGAGACTCTGGCCACGGGGAAGACGTGTCTGCAGAAGGCTGATGCTGACAGCGAACCGAAGAAATCCAAAAGAACAAAAAAAACGAAATCGAAAACCAGGACTTGAACACAGTGACCCCTTGCAGATATAGGTCTGTTGTTCTCTTCTCCTGCTGGTTCTGTGTGCGTGGGTGTTTGTGTGGGAGTCTTTTGTGTACGGTGTGTATGTGCACTTTCCCCTGGCTCTGTTTGTTTTGCCCGTGTGTTTGTCCATTGCTGTGATGTCTGTCTGTTTACGGTGGGGGGCGGGCGTTTGTGTGGGAGTCTTTTGTGTACGGTGGGGGGCGGGCAGGGAAAGGCGTGTACGTGCATCCTCCCCTGGCGCTGTTTGTTTTGGCATTGTGTCCACAATATGTTTATGTATTGCTGTGGTGCATCTGCTTACCTCTGTCCACCATTCGCCTGTCATAGCTCTTT